CCTCTTCTCTTACTCGTCTCTCCCCCTCCCCCCCTCCTCCCCCCCCCCCTCCTCCTCCTCCTCCCCCTCCCCCCCTCCTCCTCCTCCTCAGTTTCCTTCAGCATAAGGAGGCGTGTAAAGGAGACGCTCGTTTCATCTGTAAAGCTGAGAGCTGTGGGAAGAGATTTAAGAGCAAAGACGCTCTGAAGAAGCACAAAGGAAACGTCCACACAGGTGAGACTGTACAGGTGAAGGTGAGTGACATCACTTCCTGTCACCTGGGCCAGTGGTCTGTCAGCTGTTATATTGAAATGTCACGTTTTGCCTGGGCTTCATAGAGAGGTGTTAATATGTGGAGATGATGAAACAGAGACATCCCATTGGAGCAGGGAGATGCTGCCTTCAGGGACCCACACAGAAACAGAGACATCCCATTGGAGCAGGGAGATGCTGCCTTCAGGGACCCACACAGAACAGAGACATCCCATTGGAGCAGGGAGATGCTGCCTTCAGGGACCCACACAGAACAGAGACATCCCATTGGAGCAGGGAGATGCTGCCTTCAGGGACCCACACAGAACAGAGACATCTCATTGGAGCAGGGAGATGCTGCCTTCAGGGACCCACACAGAACAGAGACATCTCATTGGAGCAGGGAGATGCTGCCTTCAGGGACCCACACAGAAACAGAGACATCTCATTGGAGCAGGGAGATGCTGCCTTCAGGGACCCACACAGAACAGAGACATCCCATTGGAGCAGGGAGATGCTGCCTTCAGGGACCCACACAGAACAGAGACATCCCATTGGAGCAGGGAGATGCTGCCTTCAGGGACCCACACAGAAACAGAGACATCTCATTGGAGCAGGGAGATGCTGCCTTCAGGGACCCACACAGAACAGAGACATCCCATTGGAGCAGGGAGATGCTGCCTTCAGGGACCCACACAGAACAGAGACATCCCATTGGAGCAGCGAGATGCTGCCTTCAGGGACCCACACAGAAACAGAGACATCTCATTGGAGCAGGGAGATGCTGCCTTCAGGGACCCACACAGAAACAGAGACATCTCATTGGAGCAGGGAGATGCTGCCTTCAGGGACCCACACAGAAACAGAGACATCCCATTGGAGCAGGGAGATGCTGCCTTCAGGGACCCACACAGAACAGAGACATCCCATTGGAGCAGGGAGATGCTGCCTTCAGGGACCCACACAGAACAGAGACATCCCATTGGAGCAGGGAGATGCTGCCTTCAGGGACCCACACAGAAACAGAGACATCCCATTGGAGCAGGGAGATGCTGCCTTCAGGGACCCACACAGAACAGAGACATCCCATTGGAGCAGGGAGATGCTGCCTTCAGGGACCCACACAGAAACAGAGACATCTCATTGGAGCAGGGAGATGCTGCCTTCAGGGACCCACACAGAAACAGAGACATCTCATTGGAGCAGGGAGATGCTGCCTTCAGGGACCCACACAGAAACAGCACATCCCGCAGTTTAACTCACGACGTGCTGTAGTGAAGCTGACGGTCCTCTCAGAAAGTGGATCAGCGTAATCTGATGATAGAGACTCTCATTACTCGCTCTGTACAATCTGACCTGTGTATCTGAAGTGATGGGATGTAGGGCTGTGTGTGTGTGTGTGTGTGTGTGTGTGTGTGTCTGTGTCTGTGTCTGTGTCTGTGTCTGTGTCTGTGTGTGTGTGTGTGTGTGTGTGTGTGTGTGTGTGTGTGTGTGTCCCAACTACACAATGTGTTTCTGTTTCAACCAAAACATTGCAGCATATTTGCTTACGATGTTTGCGACGTGTGTTTTTTTGCAGGACGTTTTCTCACATTTAGTTCAAAACACATCGTGCTAAGCTAGTGCTAGCCGTCTTAGCATCATTTAGCCGTCCTTCAGGAAGCTGCAGAAGGAGGACCTCACAGCATGTCCTGATAAATGATGACCCAGTTTCAGCGTAAAGACACAGTTCTCCAGAAGCTCCTCTCCCTATGACAGGCCGTGCAGCATTAGACTCATCTCAAGATAACACTGTTGTGTAATGTCTCTTTCAATGTGGACCTGAAGCTCCTTCCCTTCAGCTGGGACTCTGTCTCTGTCCTGGCTGCTGTCCTCAGTCCTGCAGCCTTTGGTCATTTCTTCTTCTATTTGTTCTGTCCTTTGCAGGGAGCGCACGCCGGAAACTCACGTGCACGATCTGCAACAGGAAGTGCTCGTCCTCTCTGAACCTGCAGGAGCACAGGAAGGTGAGACTGATGAATATAATAAACTATAATGTCTCTGCAGTGTCCCTCTGTAATCTGGAGGCTGCTTTTCTCTGTCTTTGGACATTGAAACGCTCGTCTCTGAGACACTGGGATGGACATGTTTACTTATTTTCAGACTTTTTAAACACCAGACCATGACTCCAGAAGACAACATGTGTTTGCAGCTCTCATCCTGATTCCTGAGTTTTGTTTCCAACACTGAATTCTCAATATTTATACTAAGGTTGTGAATTCTGGGCCATTTTACGTCCTGATTAGTCGGCTGAGAGCTGAGAGCAGACGTCTGGTGTTGGAATAAAGAATAAACTGATATAACGTGAATATCTTTGGACATTCAGACACATCAGCTCGGACTCTGAGACACTGGGGTTGACAATTTCAAACATTTCCTGACTTTTTATTCGCCTAAAAAGTATTCAATTGCAGCTTTAAAATATGTCTTTCTTTATGGATCCATCACTGATTGTTGTGTGCTGGCATTGGATTATTCTCTCCTCTGATTGGTTATCCTTCATTTACTGACATTCCTCATGAATGATCTCTGCTGCTAATGATGACTTTTCATTTTCTCTCGTCATCATCCATCATCCAGATGAATCAAGTCTTCTCTGAACTCTTAGACATGAAAACTCACCTGGACGTATTTGATCGTCCTCCACAGTTTCAGTCCTGCTGATATTGGGCTTAGAATAGCAAAACAGATTTCCCATCATGCACCAGGCTGAGGTCTGAGCGGCACAGTGTGAATCCAGGTCAGCGTGATAGGATGTTTCTGCTCATGTAATGGAGTTGTTGAGATTAATTGAGTCCTCGCAGAGTGTTATTACAGTAATGCTGCGCTCCATCAGAGAGACGTCCGTAAAGCCGCTTAGCGCTCCGTTATTAAACTTTACATGTTCCTCTGAACATTAACATATCAGAGGATATTCAGGCAATTACTGCAGCTGACGGAGACGAGAGGGAACTTTTCAGCACTTTAATTACTTTCTGTCAGGCGGGGGGGAACGGACAAGATTTACTTTCTGTTGATCCTGTAACTTTTAAACACTCTACTTTAAAGAGTCCTCTCCTGCTGATGTTCAGGTGTATATCAGTATGTAGTGTCTCTACTTTAAAGAGTCCTCTCCTGCTGATGTTCAGGTGTATATCAGTATGTAGTGTCTCTACTTTAAAGAGTCCTCTCCTGCTGATGTTCAGGTGTATATCAGTATGTAGTGTCTCTACTTTAAAGAGTCCTCTCCTGCTGATGTTCAGGTGTATATCAGGATGTAGAGTCTCTACTTTAAAGAGTCCTCTCCTGCTGATGTTCAGGTGTATATCAGTATGTAGTGTCTCTACTTTAAAGAGTCCTCTCCTGCTGATGTTCAGGTGTATATCAGTATGTAGTGTCTCTACTTTAAAGAGTCCTCTCCTGCTGATGTTCAGGTGTATATCAGTATGTAGTGTCTCTACTTTAAAGAGTCCTCTCCTGCTGATGTTCAGGTGTATATCAGTATGTAGTGTCTCTACTTTAAAGAGTCCTCTCCTGCTGATGTTCAGGTGTATATCAGTATGTAGTGTCTCTACTTTAAAGAGTCCTCTCCTGCTGATGTTCAGGTGTATATCAGTATGTAGTGTCTCTACTTTAAAGAGTCCTCTCCTGCTGATGTTCAGGTGTATATCAGTATGTAGTGTCTCTACTTTAAAGAGTCCTCTCCTGCTGATGTTCAGGTGTATATCAGTATGTAGTGTCTCTACTTTAAAGAGTCCTCTCCTGCTGATGTTCAGGTGTATATCAGTATGTAGTGTCTCTACTTTAAAGAGTTCTCTCCTGCTGATGTTCAGGTGTATATCAGCATGTAGTGTCTCTACTTTAAAGAGTCCTCTCCTGCTGATGTTCAGGTGTATATCAGTATGTAGAGTCTCTACTTTAAAGAGTCCTCTCCTGCTGATGTTCAGGTGTATATCAGTATGTAGTGTCTCTACTTTAAAGAGTCCTCTCCTGCTGATGTTCAGGTGTATATCAGTATGTAGTGTCTCTACTTTAAAGAGTCCTCTCCTGCTGATGTTCAGGTGTATATCAGTATGTAGTGTCTCTACTTTAAAGAGTCCTCTCCTGCTGATGTTCAGGTGTATATCAGTATGTAGTGTCTCTACTTTAAAGAGTCCTCTCCTGCTGATGTTCAGGTGTATATCAGTATGTAGTGTCTCTACTTTAAAGAGTTCTCTCCTGCTGATGTTCAGGTGTATATCAGTATGTAGTGTCTCTACTTTAAAGAGTCCTCTCCTGCTGATGTTCAGGTGTATATCAGTATGTAGTGTCTCTACTTTAAAGAGTCCTCTCCTGCTGATGTTCAGGTGTATATCAGTATGTAGTGTCTCTACTTTAAAGAGTCCTCTCCTGCTGATGTTCAGGTGTATATCAGTATGTAGAGTCTCTACTTTAAAGAGTCCTCTCCTGCTGATGTTCAGGTCTATATCAGTATGTAGTGTCTCTACTTTAAAGAGTCCTCTGTTGCAGGTTCATGAAATACTGGAATGCCACGCCTGTGACAAGAAGTTCATCTCCACCAATCAGCTGAAGCGTCACATGATCACACACTCAGGTGAGGCAAATCAAACAGAAACAGAAACACCTTTTGCATCGTGATGTTTTTTCCCCGTCTGCTTCAGACCTAGTAACAGTCTCTGTGCTTCCCATGATGCATTGTGTCCTCAGAGAAGCGTCCGTACACCTGTGAGGTGTGCAGCCGCTCCTTCAAACGCCTCGACCAGGTGACGGCTCACAAGATCATCCACAGCGAGGACAAGCCCTACAAGTGCAAGCTGTGTGGGAAGGAGTTCGCCCACAGGAACGTCTACAAGAACCACAAGAAGGTCAGTGAACGTGATAGAAAACTCTCCCTGGTCCCCGGCTTGAGCTTCAACCTCAGGATCCATGTATTTGTGATCCTCTCCAGAATGGAAGTAGTCAAAATCTAAAAAATCTGGCTTTTTCTCAAAAATCTCCTAAATCTGACTTTTTCTCAAAATCTCAAAAATCTGACTTTTTCTCAAAATCTCAAAAATCTGACTTTTTCACACAAATCTAAAAAATGCTGACTTTTCTCAAAAAATTAGATTTTTTGGCAAAAATCTCAAACAATTTGACTTTTTCTCAAAATTCTGACTTTTTCTCAAAATCTCAAAATTCTGACTTTTTCTCAAAAAACTCAAAATTCGGACTTTTCCTCAAATGTTTTACTTTTCCTCAAAAATATGACTTTTTCTCAAAAATCTGAATCTTTCTCAAAAAATCTCAAAAATATGACTTTTTCTCAAATATATGACTTTTTCTCAAAAATATGACTTTTTCTTAAAATCTCAAAAATCTGACTTTCTGAATACTATTTTTTTTTAATAATCACTGAGCTTCAACCTCAGGATCCATGTATGTGTGATCCTCTCCAGAATGGAAGTAGTCATCACATACAGAGCATCAAGTAGTTCCTGAACAGTGTCCTTCACATGCTGATATCCAAGAGAGGGAGTTACACAGTCACAAGATGGAGGAATAGAAAGCAGTATTCAATGTTTACTTCAGATTAGCTCCACGTCAGAAATGAGCATGCTTGTCATATGTCTATCTCCATAGAGGCTGAATCATCATGTTAATCACATAGCTATCATATGCCTCAAACAGTCCTGATGCTCTTCTAGGTAATCATACATCCTGTCATGTTCACAGCTACAGTTGATACCTTTGTTAGCATGCTACTCTCATGTTGGAAGAGGACGTTCAGTGTTTCCCCAACATGGGGGTTAATATTTAAAATGATTATTATTATTATTCCTGCATGTAAAGGTGTGCAGAGACGTCTGGTATATATGATATACAGAGGGTTTTATAGATAAATATAACATAAGGGCGCTGATGTCTAAATTAAGCCCCACCCACTTTTCGTTGTAAATACTGCATTCGAGCGAAGCAGGAAATAATAGTGTTTTCATGTCTTAAAGCTGCGGAGTCATATTTTGCACCAGTTACGGAACAAATCCAGAGTTACGGTGGCCCCTGCAGACTCAACCCTGATATAGCATTACGTTGAACGATGTTGCATCAAAATGTAAAACTAGCGTCAAATAGAAAAGGTTTAACTCGGACCTCTTGGTTCTGTTTCTACTATAAACCTGTTTACATTATAATGCACTCAAAGTTTAATTGAAAATACTTAAATGCTCAGAGCTAGGGAGAGTGGGTTCAAGGGAAAACTAAGGGGGGAAAGAATACAAATGAATAAATAAAAACTCACAAATGTTTCAGAAAAATGTGTTTTTTTAGGGCTGTCAAGTTAACGCGTTAATAACGTGTTAAATTCTGACTTTTTCCTCAAAATCTCAGAATTTTGACTTATTCTGAGATTTATTCAAATTCTATTAATTTTCTCAACATTTCTGAATCCTATCCTTTTTAAGAAAATCTCCAAACTTTGACTTTTAAAAAATAAATGTTATCTGTCGGGTCCCCCCCCCCCTGGAGGCTGTTATCTGTGGGGTCCCCCCCCCCCCCTGTTTACTTTGGGGATCGGGCTGTCACTCAGACAGATAGGTTGGGTTTAAGGGGGAAACAGAAGCACTTTGAACTTAAAGCCCCTCCAGCTGCTCGTCTTCATCGAGGAAAGGAACGTTTATTTCTACAGCACTTTTCAAGGCAATTCAGAGTGCTTTACAAAAATGAAAGACATTAAGATCATAACACACATTAGAAGCAGAGATAATAAAACATGAATAACAGTTACAGTGCAATGCAAAGGAGGCGTGTGGTGCAGTGGGTTGTGCGTTGGTGTTGGGATAGGTTCAAACCCCACTGCAGTCAGCATGTCGTTGTGTCCCTGAGACACTTCACCCCAAAGTGCTCCTGTGGGGTTTGTCCACAGTATTGAATGTATGCAAGTCGCTTTGGATAAAAGCGTCTAACAGGTCATGTAATGTAATGTAACGTAATGAGATGTGAAGAGTTCAATTAAAAGCAGCGGAAAAAGAAAAGTCTTCAGCCTGGATTTAAAAGTACTAAGAGTTGCAGGTCAACAAACTCAATCTGCATGATGGGGGGGGGCTCTTTACTCTGTTCTGATTGGTTCTCCTAACTCTGTTCTGATTGGTTCTCCTAACTCTGTTCTGATTGGTTCTCCTAACTCTGTTCTGATTGGTTCTCCTAACTGTGTGTAAACTCTCTCTGCAGACCCACTCTGAGGAGAGACCCTTCCAGTGTGACGAGTGCAAAGCCTTGTTCAGGACCCCGTTCTCCCTGCAGCGCCACCTGCTGATCCACAACAGTGAGTACCATCACACACCTGTATTAAGCCCCGCCCCCTTTCCCACCTGCTGATCCACAACAGTGAGTACCATCACACACCTGTATTAAGCCCCGCCCCCTTTCCCACCTGCTGATCCACAACAGTGAGTACCATCACACACCTGTATTAAGCCCCGCCCCCTTTCCCACCTGCTGATCCACAACAGTGAGTACCATCACACACCTGTATTAAGCCCCGCCCCCTTTATCACCTGCTGATCCACAACAGTGAGTACCTGTACACCTTTATTAGCCCCCGCCCCCTTTCCCACCTGCTGATCCACAAAATCTCAATCTCAAAATATCAAATCTGAATTTGTTCTCAAATGTTCACTTTTTTAGAAAATCGAAAAGTCTTGACTTTTTTTCTAAATTCTGATTTTGTTTCTGCAAATCTTTTCTTAAAATCTCAGAAGTCCTAATTTTTTCTCTCCAAATTCTTCATATGTTTCAAAATCTAAACATTTGCAAACTTTTTCTGTAAAAAGTCGCAAAATACGGATTTAAAAAAAAAAAAATCCAAATTCATTTTTTTTCCCTCAAAATCTCAACATTTTGACTTTTTGTCCAAATTCTGACTTTCTTTCAAATTACTGACTTTTTTTCTGCATTTTTTAATTCCGACTTTTTCTTAAAATCTGAGAAGTTCTTTTTTCTCGAAATTCTTCATTTGTTTAGAAATCTAAAAATTCGCTCACATTTCTTTTTTTTTCAAAATTCTGAATCGGAAAATTCTTCAATCGTTTTTTCAAAATCTTTCAATTCTGACTTTTTTTCAGAAAATGTTATTCCTCAATCTTTTTCTCAAAATCTGCTCTTTTTTTAATGAATATCAGAATTTGACAGACTGTTTCAGCTCTTTGTGAACAATCAATTATTCCTTGTTGGATTTAAGTACTCCAGATCGTGTGTGTGTGTGTGTGTGTGTGTGTGTGTGTGTGTGTGTGTGTGTGTGTGTGTGTGTGTGTGTGTGTGTGTGTGTGTGTGTGTGTGTGTGTGTGTGTGTGTGTGTGTGTGTGTGTGTGTGTGTGTGTGTGTGTGTGTGTGTGTGTGTGTGTGTGTGTGTGTGTGTGTGTGTGTGTGTGTGTGTGTGTGTGTGTGTGTGTGTGTGTGTGTGTGTGTGTGTGTGTGTGTGTGTGTGTGTGTGTGTGTGTGTGTGTGTGTGTGTGTGTGTGTGTGTGTGTGTGTGTGTGTGTGTGTGTGTGTGTGTGTGTGTGTAACCCCAGTCTGAAGCTGTGAGTTATAATGAAACCTTTGTGTTATCGCTGACAATAATTATCAGCAAGTGTTTCCATTAAATTAAAAACACTTACACTGCTGTCCCACTTTATAGAGCTGACCGTCAGCGGCCTTGTAACAGGAACACACACACACACACACACACACACACACACACACACAGCCTGGATATTGAATGATGTGCCTATAATGGAAGTGCTGCTGCAGGACAATAGGCTGGTTGTTTGCAGAACAGCTGAGTGAGTCGTTACTGAGAAACATGTGGCGGAGCAGTTTTTATTTCACGGTTTCCCCCGGGATGTGTTCGGCTGCAAAATAGAGAAGCATCGCTGTAGTCTGTCTGCAGCTCCCAGAGTCTTGTTGTGAAGTTGAGATGTTTTATGTAGAGTAGGGTCTGCAGCACATCGAATCTGCCGGATGCTAATCTGCCGGATGCTAACCTGCATATGATGAGACATTGACACGGTTAGTATCTGAGTGAAGCCCTATACACAGACCATAATGCAACAGTGTGCACAGAGAGCTTCTAAAACATCTATAGGAGTTCAAAGTCAGCATTTGAGTGGCTTTTGGGTGTTTTGTGTATTTTACTCAACATTCAGACTTTTTCTGAAAATCGCTAAATATGTTTTTTTTCTCAAAATCTCAGAATTGTGACTTTTCTCTCGATATCTTAAATGTCTGACTTTTTTCTCAACATTTTTAAACGTGAACTTTTTTCAAACTTTGACTTATTTTCAGAAAATCGTAAAATTTGTGAAAAATATCCAAAACTCTATTTTTTTCCTCAAAATCTCAGAATTATCACTTTTTTTTTTTTTAATCTCTAAATGTGGACTTTTTTTCCAAAAATCTCAACATTTTCACTTTTTTCTTACAATCTTAAAATGTCACCCTTTTCTCCAAATCTCAAAATACGCACTGTTTTCCTCAACATTCTGACTTTTTCGGCAAAAAATCTCAAAATACAGCTTTTTTTCTCCAAAGCTCCAAACAGACCATATGCAACATTATGAGGCGTCTCTTCTGTTGAATCCAGACGGATGTGAGGAGCTTGTTTGTTTGTCTGCAGCCTCTTTGTGTTGCTCTGTTGTTGCAGAAACTGGGTCATTGATGATGATGATGGTGATGATGATGATGGTGTGCTCCACAATAGTAAACTGCAGATGTCTCTCTCTCTGAATGTCCCCGCAGGTGAGAGGACCTTTAAGTGCGATCAGTGCGACGCCACCTTCAAGAGGAAGGACACGCTGAACGTGCACATCCAGGTCGTGCACGACGGACACAAGAAGTACAAGTGTGACCTGTGTGAGAAAGCCTTCGTCACGCCCTCCGTCCTCAAGAGCCACAAGAAGGTGAATAAAAGAGTTTCTGAACAACCTCAATCACACAGCCATTACCCGCCAGCGCTCTGTCCCAGATTCACTTCAGAACAGAGCTGCTGGAAAATAACCTGCAATCTCAAGTTGTTAGGAACGTCTGCTTTTATAAACACTTACGGAGGCCGACAGGTGCAAACACACTACAAACAAAACTCTTCCATCAGGAGAAGCAGCTTCAGGAAGGATGCAGATATAGAAACCAAATGTTCCTCATGAAGAAACATCTCCAGCAACAACATGTGCAGCTTTTAGAGAACATTCAGCAGCTTGAGGAGACATGGCAGCGTTTACTAAAAGCTGCAGAAACCAAACGCTGCAGATACAACACGCGGAACATTTGTGTTTTTCTATCTGCATCGTCTCAGCGCTCGTTTGGCGCCTGTCGGACCCCGTACGGTCTGATCAGGACGAGCTGCACTCCCATTGAAACAGGACAGGTTCTCAGAGAGGATGATCTGGTCTTTAATCCACTGGATGAGAACGCTCTTATTTTGCTCATTAGAGTTTCTAAAAACATTCTTTTCTTCAGTTCTTTCCACCGACACGTTGTTCCCTGAAGCCGGGGTTAGTCTTTGCAACAGAAACACATATTATGTTGTGGATACGTTTTTCTTTGTAACAGTAAAATACTATTTTCACATCAAAGGAGGTCAACAGCTTTCAACAGGCAGCACTCCAGCAGGTTTTAAACGACATTCAGTCTTTCTGAGGTGATTTTAAGATGCAAGGCTCATTTTTTGTTTTAAAAAAACATCCCTATTGACAGGCTTGGTTTTAAAATCTTTTAACTCTGGACTTTACAGAACCAAGAATCAACTAGGACGTAACAAAAACAAATCTGAGAAGTCTTCATTTTTTTTAAATCCAAAAATTCGCTCGAGTCAGAATCAGAGTCAGAATCAGAGTCAGAATCAGAGTCAGAATCAGAGTCAGAGTCAGAGTCAGAATCAGAGTCAGAATCAGAGTCAGAGTCAGAGTCAGAGTCAGAGTCATAATCAGAATCAGAGTCAGAATCAGAGTCAGAATCAGAGTCAGAGTCAGAATCAGAGTCAGAATCAGAGTCAGAGTCAGAGTCAGAATCAGAGTCAGAATCAGAGTCAGAATCAGAGTCAGAGTCAGAGTCAGAATCAGAGTCAGAGTCAGAGTCAGAGTCAGAATCAGAGTCAGAGTCAGAATCAGAGTCAGAGTCAGAATCAGAGTCAGAGTCAGAATCAGAGTCAGAGTCAGAGTCAGAGTCAGAATCAGAGTCAGAATCAGAGTCAGAGTCAGAGTCAGAGTCAGAATCAGAATCAGAATCAGAGTCAGAATCAGAGTCAGAGTCAGAGTCAGAGTCAGAATCAGAATCAGAGTCAGAGTCAGAGTCAGAGTCAGAGTCAGAATCAGAATCAGAGTCAGAATCAGAATCAGAGTCATAATCAGAGTCATAATCAGAGTCAGAGTCAGAGTCATAATCAGAGTCATAATCAGAATCAGAATCAGAGTCAGAGTCAGAATCAGAGTCATAATCAGAATCAGAGTCAGAATCAGAGTCAGAATCAGAGTCAGAATCAGAATCATAATCAGAATCAGAGTCAGAGTCAGAATCAGAATCAGAGTCAGAGTCAGAGTCAGAGTCAGAATGAGAGTCAGAATCAGAGTCAGAGTCAGAGTCAGAGTCAGAATCAGAGTCAGAATCAGAGTCAGAGTCAGAATCAGAATCAGAATCAGAGTCAGAATCAGAGTCAGAGTCAGAGTCAGAGTCAGAGTCAGAATCAGAATCAGAATCAGAGTCAGAGTCAGAATCAGAGTCAGAGTCAGAATCAGAGTCAGAGTCAGAGTCAGAGTCAGAATCAGAGTCAGAGTCAGAGTCAGAGTCATAATCAGAGTCAGAGTCATAATCAGAGTCAGAGTCAGAGTCATAATCAGAGTCATAATCAGAGTCAGAGTCAGAGTCATAATCAGAGTCAGAGTCATAGTCAGAGTCAGAGTCAGAGTCATAATCAGAGTCAGAATCAGAGTCAGAATCAGAATCAGAATCAGAGTCAGAGTCAGAATCAGAATCAGAATCAGAGTCATAATCAGAGTCAGAGTCATAATCAGAGTCATAATCAGAGTCATAATCAGAGTCATAATCAGAATCAGAGTCATAATCAGAGTCAGAGTCAGAGTCATAATCAGAGTCATAATCAGAGTCAGAGTCATAATCAGAGTCAGAATCAGTCAGAGTCAGAGTCAGAGTCAGAATCAGAGTCATAATCAGAGTCAGAGTCATAATCAGAGTCAGAGTCAGAATCAGAGTCAGAATCAGAATCAGAATCAGAGTCAGAGTCAGAGTCAGAATCAGAGTCAGAGTCAGAGTCATAATCAGAATCAGAGTCATAATCAGAATCAGAATCAGAGTCAGAGTCAGAATCAGAGTCATAATCAGAATCAGAGTCAGAATCAGAATCAGAGTCAGAATCAGAGTCAGAATCAGAGTCAGAGTCAGAATCAGAGTCAGAGTCAGAATCAGAATCAGAGTCAGAGTCAGAGTCAGAGTCAGAATGAGAGTCAGAATCAGAGTCAGAGTCAGAGTCAGAATCAGAGTCAGAATCAGAGTCAGAGTCAGAATCAGAATCAGAGTCAGAATCAGAGTCAGAGTCAGAGTCAGAGTCAGAATCAGAATCAGAGTCAGAATCAGAGTCAGAGTCAGAATCAGAGTCAGAGTCAGAGTCAGAGTCAGAATCAGAGTCAGAGTCAGAGTCAGAGTCATAATCAGAGTCAGAGTCAGAGTCATAATCAGAGTCATAATCAGAGTCAGAGTCAGAGTCATAATCAGAGTCAGAGTCATAGTCAGAGTCAGAGTCAGAGTCATAATCAGAGTCAGAATCAGAGTCAGAATCAGAATCAGAATCAGAGTCAGAGTCAGAATCAGAATCAGAATCAGAGTCATAATCAGAGTCAGAGTCATAATCAGAGTCATAATCAGAGTCAGAATCAGAATCAGAGTCATAATCAGAGTCAGAGTCAGAGTCATAATCAGAGTCATAATCAGAGTCAGAGTCAGAATCAGAGTCAGAATCAGAGTCAGAGTCAGAGTCAGAGTCATAATCAGAGTCAGAGTCAGAATCAGAGTCAGAATCAGAATCAGAATCAGAGTCAGAGTCAGAATCAGAGTCAGAGTCAGAGTCAGAATCAGAGTCAGAATCAGAATCAGAGTCAGAGTCAGAGTCAGAATCAGAGTCAGAATCAGAGTCAGAGTCAGAATCAGAGTCAGAGTCAGAGTCAGAGTCAGAGTCAGAGTCAGAATCAGAGTCAGAGTCAGAGTCAGAATCAGAATCAGAATCAGAGTCAGAGTCAGAATCAGAATCAGAGTCAGAGTCATAATCAGAGTCAGAGTCAGAATCAGAATCAGAGTCAGAGTCAGAGTCAGAATCAGAGTCAGAATCAGAGTCAGAGTCAGAGTCAGAGTCAGAGTCAGAATCAGAATCAGAGTCATAATCAGAGTCAGAGTCATAATCAGAGTCATAATCAGAGTCAGAGTCATAATCAGAGTCAGTGTCATAATCAGAGTCAGAGTCAGAGTCATAATCAGAGTCAGAATCAGAGTCAGAGTCAGAATCAGAGTCAGAATCAGAGTCATAATCAGAGTCAGAGTCATAATCAGAGTCAGAATCAGAATCAGAGTCATAATCAGAGTCATAATCAGAGTCATAATCAGAGTCAGAATCAGAGTCATAATCAGAGTCAGAGTCAGAGTCATAATCAGAGTCATAATCAGAGTCAGAGTCATAATCAGAGTCAGAGTCATAATCAGAGTCAGAGTCAGAGTCATAATCAGAGTCATAATCAGAGTCAGAGTCAGAATCAGAGTCAGAATCAGAGTCAGAGTCAGAGTCAGAGTCAGAATCAGAGTCAGAGTCAGAGTCAGAGTCAGAATCAGAGTCAGAATCAGAGTCAGAATCAGAATCAGAATCAGAGTCAGAGTCAGAGTCAGAATCAGAGTCAGAGTCAGAATCAGAGTCAGAGTCAGAATCAGAGTCAGAGTCAGAATCAGAGTCAGAATCAGAATCAGAGTCAGAGTCAGAGTCAGAATCAGAGTCAGAGTCAGAGTCAGAATCAGAGTCAGAATCAGAATCAGAGTCAGAATCAGAATCAGAATCAGAGTCAGAGTCAGAGTCAGAATCAGAGTCAGAGTCAGAGTCAGAATCAGAATCAGAGTCAGAGTCATAATCAGAGTCAGAGTCATAATCAGAGTCATAATCAGAGTCAGAGTCATAATCAGAGTCAGAGTCAGAGTCATAATCAGAGTCAGAGTCATAATCAGAGTCAGAGTCAGAGTCAGAGTCAGAATCAGAGTCAGAATCAGAGTCAGAGTCAGAATCAGAGTCAGAGTCAGAATCAGAGTCAGAGTCAGAATCAGAATCAGAATCAGAATCAGAGTCAGAATCAGAGTCAGAATCAGAGTCAGAGTCAGAATCAGAGTCAGAGTCAGAATCAGAATCAGAGTCAGAGTCAGAATCAGAGTCAGAGTCAGAATCAGAATCAGAGTCAGAATCAGAATCAGAGTCAGAATCAGAGTCAGAATCAGAGTCAGAATCAGAATCAGAGTCATAATCAGAGTCAGAGTCATAATCAGAGTCAGAGTCAGAGTCATAATCAGAGTCAGAGTCAGAGTCATAATCAGAGTCATAATCAGAGTCAGAGTCAGAGTCAGAGTCATAATCAGAGTCAGAATCAGAGTCAGAATCAGAATCAGAATCAGAGTCAGAGTCAGAGTCAGAATCATAATCAGAGTCATAATCCGAGTCAGAGTCAGAGTCATAATCAGAGTCAGAGTCATAATCCGAGTCAGAGTCAGAGTCAGAATCAGAGTCAGAGTCAGAATCAGAGTCAGAGTCAGAATCAGAATCAGAATCAGAATCAGAGTCAGAGTCAGAGTCAGAATCAGAATCAGAGTCAGAGTCAGAGTCAGAATCAGAATCAGAGTCAGAGTCAGAATCATAATCAGAGTCGGAGTCATAATCAGAGTCAGAGTCAGAGTCATAATCAGAGTCAGAGTCATAATCAGAGTCAGAGTCAGAATCAGAGTCAGAGTCAGAGTCAGAATCAGAGTCAGAGTCAGAGTCAGAATCAGAATCAGAGTCAGAGTCAGAGTCAGAGTCAGAGTCAGAATGAGAATCAGAGTCAGAGTCAGAGTCAGAGTCAGAATCAGAGTCAGAGTCAGAATCAGAATCAGAGTCAGAGTCAGAATCAGAGTCAGAGTCAGAGTCAGAATCAGAGTCAGAGTCAAAATCAGAGTCAGAGTCAGAATCAGAATCAGAATCAGAGTCAGAGTCATAATCAGAGTCATAATCAGAGTCATAATCAGAGTCAGAATCAGAGTCAGAGTCAGAATCAGAATCAGAGTCAGAATCAGAGTCAGAATCAGAATCAGAGTCAGAGTCATAATCAGAGTCATAATCAGAGTCATAATCAGAGTCATAATCAGAGTCAGAGTCAGAATCAGAATCAGAGTCAGAATCAGAGTCAGAATCAGAGTCAGAGTCAGAGTCAGAGTCAGAGTCAGAATCAGAGTCAGAGTCAGAGTCAGAGTCAGAATCAGAATCAGAGTCAGAGTCAGAATCAGAGTCAGAGTCAGAGTCAGAGTCAGAGTCATAATCAGAGTCAGAGTCAGAATCAGAGTCAGAGTCAGAGTCAGAGTCATAATCAGAGTCAGAGTCAGAATAAGAGTGACACTGTGACGCGACGCTCGCACTGACGCGACGCTCGCACTGTGACGCGACGCTCGCACTGTGACGCGACGCTCGCACTGTGACGCGACGCTCACACTGTGACGCGACGCTCACACTGTGACGCGATGCTCACACTGTGACATGCGTTCCAGCTTCAAAACATGAGCCAGTGGTTCTGAGGCAGGCTCTGAGCAGACGGCAGAGATCTGACAGGCTGTGGTTCTGATCCAGATACAGCTGGTTGGACTAAAGAAAGGGCTCAGAGCAGCAGGGCTGAAGAGATGCATGCTGGGAGATGATCAGAGCCAGGTTACTGGGGGGGGGGGGGGGGGGTCTCAGTGTCTACCTGCAGAGAGATGATGATGATGGACGAGCTGTTAAATTAATGTTTATTCTACACCTTCATACTCAACACGATCAGTCAGAATGTGTGTGTGTCTGTGTGTTTTATGTGAGAGTGTGTGTGTGTGTGTTATGTGAGAGGGTGTGTGTTTTATGTGAGAGTGTGTGTTATGTGAGAGGGTGTGTGTCTGCGTGTGTGTGTTATGTGAGAGGGTGTGTGTTTTATGTGAGAGTGTGTGTTATGTGAGAGGGTGTGTGTATGCGTGTGTGTGTTATGTGAGAGGGTGTGTGTCTGTGTGTGTGTGCATGTACTGTATGTTCTGCTCATTGTACGAGACTCTCTGGAAGACGTCAGCATGAATGAAAATTACAGGGTTTGTGTTTGAGCGGTTACACACACACACACACACACACACACACACACACACACACACACACACACACACACACACACACACACTTAATGAACTCTCTCTTTTAGAAACATCCTGAACAAGCTGACATGCGTTCAGAAACAGTGCATTCAAACGTGACTTTGCCGTATCGTTTCCACTGTGCAACAGATCACAGTTCCTACACATCCAGTCTCTGCATTTCCTTTATGATTGAACATGTCCATCTGTGTCGTCGCCCTGACAGCATTCAGAGTGAAGGTCAGCTATCTCCCTGCCTTGTTAGGGTACATTGTAAATATCCAGAATACATCAGAGTGGTGAAAGTTGTAGTGAAGGTGTTCTCTGCTGTGAGTGGAACCCAGCTTTCTGTCCTCGCTGCACATCTGGGACCTGTGTGTGTGTGTGTGTGTGTGTGTGTGTGTGTGTGTGTGAGCCTTTGTAAGGTAACACCCGAGGTGTCGGAGGGACTCTGTGGGTGACGGGGGGGGTCCTGTATTGTTGTTCGGCTGTTGAAGCTGTCGCTCTGAGTTTAAACTCTCCGACTCTCTGATCGAATCTGAAACAGGAGGAAACCAGTTAGAGAGGAGAGAGGAGAGAGGAGAGAGGAAACCAGTTAGAGAGGAGAGAGGAGAGGAGGAAACCAGTTAGAGAGGAGAGAGGAGAGAGGAGAGAGGAGAGGAGGAAACCAGTTTGGATCCAGGTATCTGATTGGATCTGATTGGATCCAGGTACAGGTTGATTGGATCAGGTGTTCTTCGTCTCTAACGTCCTCCACCTGTCTCTGCAGACTCACACCGGGGAGAAGGAGAAGATCTGCCCGTACTGCGGACAGAAGTTCGCCAGCAACGGAACGCTGAGGGTCCACATCCGCTCCCACACAGGTGAGACACACCTGAGACTTGTGTTATAGAGGGTCCACACCACACAGGTGAGACACACCTGAGACCTGTATTATAGAGGGTCCACATCCGCTCCCACACAGGTGAGACACACCTGAGACCTGTATTATAGAGGGTCCACATCACACAGGTGAGACACACCTGAGACCTGTATTATAGAGGGTCCACATCACACAGGTGAGACACACCTGAGATCTGTGTTATAGAAGGTCCACATCACACAGGTGAGACACACCTGAGACCTGTGTTATAGAGGGTCCACATCACACAGGTGAGACACACCTGAGACCTGTATTATAGAGGGTCCACATCCGCTCCCACACAGGTGAGACACACCTGAGATCTGTGTTATAGAAGGTCCACATCACACAGGTGAGACACACCTGAGATCTGTGTTATAGAGGGTCCACATCCGCTCCCACACAGGTGAGACACACCTGAGATCTGTGTTATAGAAGGTCCACATCACACAGGTGAGACACACCTGAGATCTGTGTTATAGAGGGTCCACATCCGCTCCCACACAGGTGAGACACACCTGAGACCTGTGTTATAGAGGGTCCACATCACACAGGTGAGACACACCTGAGATCTGTGTTATAGAGAGTCCACATCACACAGGTGAGACACACCTGAGACCTGTGTTATAGAGGGTCCACATCACACAGGTGAGACACACCTGAGATCTGTATTATAGAGGGTCCACATCACACAGGTGAGACACACCTGAGACCTGTGTTATAGAGGGTCCACATCACACAGGTGAGACACACCTGAGACCTGTATTATAGAGGGTCCACATCCGCTCCCACACAGGTGAGACACACCTGAGATCTGTGTTATAGAAGGTCCACATCACACAGGTGAGACACACCTGAGATCTGTGTTATAGAGGGTCCACATCCGCTCCCACACAGGTGAGACACACCTGAGATCTGTGTTATAGAAGGTCCACATCACACAGGTGAGACACACCTGAGATCTGTGTTATAGAGGGTCCACATCCGCTCCCACACAGGTGAGACACACCTGAGACCTGTGTTATAGAGGGTCCACATCACACAGGTGAGACACACCTGAGATCTGTGTTATAGAGGGTCCACATCACACAGGTGAGACACACCTGAGACCTGTGTTATAGAGGGTCCACATCACACAGGTGAGACACACCTGAGATCTGTATTATAGAGGGTCCACATCACACAGGTGAGACACACCTGAGATCTGTGTTATAGAGGGTCCACATCACACAGGTGAGACACACCTGAGATCTGTGTTATAGAGGGTCCACATCACACAGGTGAGACACACCTGAGATCTGTATTATAGAGGGTCCACATCACACAGGTGAGACACACCTGAGACCTGTGTTATAGAGGGTCCACATCACACAGGTGAGACACACCTGAGACCTGTGTTATAGAGGGTCCACATCACACAGGTGAGACACACCTGAGACCTGTGTTATAGAGAGACCATATCACACAGGTGAGACACACCTGAGACCTGTGTTATAGAGGGTCCACATCACACAGGTGAGACACACCTGAGACCTGTGTTGTAGAGGGTCCACATCACACAGGTGAGACACACCTGAGATCTGTGTTATAGAGGGTCCACATCACACAGGTGAGACACACCTGAGATCTGTGTTATAGAGGGTCCACATCACACAGGTGAGACACACCTGAGATCTGTGTTATAGAGGGTCCACACACCTGAGACCTGTGTTATAGAGGGTCCACATCACACAGGTGAGACACACCTGAGACCTGTGTTATAGAGGGTCCACACACCTGAGATGAACTCACCCTCAGCATCGGACAGAGATAAGTGTATCTGGAGTATCATCAGAGCACACGGAGCTAAACACAGTAGATTCAGAAAAGACTCAAATCAACTAAATAAATAAATAATAATAATATTAATAATAAAGTATTGAAGGCAGCTTGATGTAGATGATGTTGTGAAGGACTTCTCCAAACACAACGTGTGTTACAGGAGATGCAATGGCACACAGTCAAAATATAAAGAAGGACATTACTAAATAAAACAGTGTTTCCTACAAACGGGTGAAGTTAGGGTTTAAAGGGGACCTATCATGAAAAATGCACTTTGTGATGTCTTTTCTACATCAATGTGTCCCCGGTGCGTCGGGGAACTCACGCAGCGTCAGAAAATAAATCCCTCTCTCTTTTCCTCCGTACCCAAATCTTTTAAAAACGGGTGTACAACGAGCGGATACAGATTCCATCCGATCTGACGTCAAATCGTCAGCGGACCCACAGAAAGTTGCTATCAGAAACAATGCCTGACGTGTTTTGGACGTAATCTCGTCTTTGTTTACATTAGCAAGCCTCGCTAACACTCAGAGCTAACCTGTACTGGAGAGAGCATGTGTTTAAAAAGCAGGAAATAAAAAAAGGAACTCACCTTGTGATGAACCTGAGAGAGAAAAAGCATTTGAGCTCCATACTGTTTCAGAAATAATCCTTGATGTGGTTTAGAACAGGATGGCGTTTTATCACAGCAGAATTTAACTTTATCTCCGGTAGAATTCCGATCAGGCATTAGCTCCGGCTCCTCTTCTTTTCTTTTTTCAAGCTAAGGACCCAAAATCCTTGTTTCTCTAACAGGGCTGGAATAGAGGGGTATGAGCAGTATGAGGGGTGGCTGCTACGGGGGATCTGTTTGGGATTTTGAAAAAAAAACTTCACAGACATGTTTTGTATAGGTCTGGCCCTACAATATATGTTTAAAATATAGCATGATAGGTCCACTTTAAACTCCAACTTCCTGTGAAAACATAAAGGTGTGTCGTCTGCATCACATCTTCTCATCTCGTGTATTTTAAAAGATGCTCCGCTCTTATTGTCTTCACACCGTGCGGCACAGCTCACATCATCCTGAACCATATACTATATCACATCATCCTGAACCATATACTATATCACATCATCCTGAACCATATACTATATCACATCATCCATACACTATATCACATCATCCTGAAGCATATACTATATCACATCATCCATACACTATATCACATCATCCTGAACCATATACTATATCACATCATCCATACACTATATCACATCATCCTGAACCATACACTATATCACATCATCCTGAACCATATACTATATCACATCATCCATACACTATATCACATCATCCTGAACCATATACTATATCACATCATCCTGAACCATACACTATATCACATCATCCTGAACCATACACTATATCACATCATCCTGAACCATACACTATATAACATCATCCTGAACCATACACTATATCACATCATCCTGAACCATACACTATATCACATCATCCTGAACACTATACTATATCACATCATCCTGAACCATATACTATATCACATCATCCATACACTATATCACATCATCCTGAACCATACACTATATCACATCATCCTGAACCATATACTATATCACATCATCCTGAACCATATACTATATCACATCATCCTGAACCATACACTATATCACATCATCCTGAACCATATACTATATCACATCATCCTGAACCATCTACTATATCACATCATCCTGAACCATACACTATATCACATCATCCTGACCATCACTATATCACATCATCCTGAACCATACACTATATCACATCATCCTGAACCATACACTATATCACATCATCCTGAACCATACACTATATCACATCATCCTGAACACTATACTATATCACATCATCCTGAACCATACACTATATCACATCATCCTGAACCATATACTATATCACATCATCCTGAACACTATACTATATCACATCATCCTGAACCATACACTATATCACATCATCCTGAACCATACACTATATCACATCATCCCTGAAACCATCACTATATAAATCATCCTGAACCATGCACTATATCACATCATCCTGAACCATATACACTATATCACATCATCCTGAACCATACACTATATCACATCATCCTGAACCATACACTATATCACATCATCCTGAACATTACACTATATCACATCATCCTGACCCATACACTATATAACATCATCCTGACCCATACACTATATAACATCATCCTGAACACTATACTATATCACATCATCCTGAACCATACACTATATCACATCATCCTGAACCATACACTATATAACATCATCCTGAACATTACACTATATCACATCATCCTGAACATTACACTATATCACATCATCCTGACCCATATACTATATCACATCATCCTGAACCATACACTACATCACATCATCCTGAACCATACACTATATCACATCATCCTGACCCATACACTATATAACATCATCCTGAACACTATACTATATCACATCATCCTGAACCATACACTATATCACATCATCCTGAACACTATACTATATAACATCATCCTGAACCATATACTATATAACATCATCCTGAACCATACACTATATCACATCATCCTGAACCATATACTATATAACATCATCCTGAACCATACACTATATCACATCATCCTGAACACTATACTATATAACATCATCACATCATCCTGAACACTATACTATATCACATCATCCTGAACCATATACTATATAACATCATCCTGAACACTATACTATATCACATCATCCTGAACACTATACTATATCACATCATCCTGAACCATACACTATATCACATCATCCTGAACATTACACTATATCACATCATCCTGACCCATACACTATATCACATCATCCTGAACACTATACTATATCACATCATCCTGAACCATACACTATATCACATCATCCTGACCCATACACTATATAACATCATCCTGACCCATACACTATATAACATCATCCTGAACACTATACTATATCACATCATCCTGAACCATATACTATATCACATCATCCTGAACACTATACTATATCACATCATCCTGAACCATATACTATATAACATCATCCTGAACACTATACTATATC